TTTACGCAAGTTTTCGTTATATTTACGCAGTTTTTATTTTCAGTGTGCGGATGAGCTCGCCTTGCTGGTCTCATTAGATGATGTAGGATGTAGAAGGGTTAACAGTCCTCTCGGTTGTCGCCCATGTAGCAGCTCAGCGGGTGACTTACCGGTGGTAGGATTTGGCGAAGCTCTGAAAGTAGCTAGAAATGTTATAATACCATCAGTTTTGCTGTTACCTCCAGCGATCGCTTTTAAGACTTTGTTTGAACGTTCGTACGAATCTTTCGGCTTCCCCGTTGGAGGCAGGATGAAATGGAGCAGTGGTGAGATGCTTAATTCCACGGTCCGTGCAAAACTGTTGAAATGTTGAGGCTGTAAATTGTCGCCCATTGTCGGAGACAATTGTGTCGGGGAATCCTTCGACCGCAAAAATTGAGTTTAGAGCTTCTATAGTCGCAGTGGCGGTTATATGTTGCATTTTTACTACGAATGGAAATTTGGAGTAGGCATCTACACATAATAGCCACATTGAATCTAAAAATGGCCCAGCGAAATCTAAATGGATACGCTGCCAAGGTCCTTCTGCTGCAGGCCAACAAGAAAACTCTTGTGCAGGAGAAGTGGCGCTGTGTTCTTGGCAAGGCCTGCAGTCGGAAACGCGTTGCTCAATGTCTGAGTCCAATTTTGGCCACCAGCAGTGCCTACGCGCCATTTGCTTCATACGCGAAATGCCCCAATGGCCTTCGTGAAGTAGATCTATAACAGTTGTTCTGGCGCTTTCTGGAACCACGACGCGACTGTAGTTTGTTTGCAGTATAACGATTCCCAATTCAATGCTTAGTGAAAATCGGCGTGTGAAATATGGCTGCAAAGCTGCATCAGCTTTTGAGAGTTTTCCCGGCCACCCCTCCTCTATAAATTTGCTTACTTTCTTAAGAACTACATCGCGTTGAGTTAGTTTGCGAAGGCGTGAAGCGTTCAACGGGAATTCGTCTAGTTGTTGGTCAATATCCACTTGAAAACATAGATTTGCTCTATCAAAGTCAACATCGGGTCCCTTGGGTAAACGCGAAAGTGCATCTGCATTGCTATGTTTATCAGTTGCTCTGTACTTAATTTCATAGCGGTAAGCCATAAGCGTAAGGGCCCACCTCTGAAGTCGTTGAATAGTTAGCACCGGTAGTTGCTTATCCGGGCTAAATATTGTCACCAGTGGCTTGTGATCTGTCAACAGCGTAAACGTACGGCCATAGAGATACTGGTGAAACTTCTTAACGCCAAAGATAATCGACAGGGCCTCTTTTTCAATTTGGCTGTAAAGCTTCTGGTGCTCGTCCAGCGTTTTAGAAGCAAACGCCACTGGTTTCTCCGAGCCATCATGAAGACGGTGAGATAAGACCGCGCCAATGCCATGCGACGATGCATCTGTTGCTAGCACGATTGGTAATTTGTCATCAAAATGCGAAAGCAGCGGCGCAGTTGATAATTGCCTTTTTAGCTCAGTAAACGACTTCTCCTGCTCTTCTCCCCATTTAAAAGTTTCGTTCATGCGGCGCAGATTATTAAGCGGTGCGGCTGTTTGTGCTAAGTTGTTAATAAATTTACTATAATAATTAATTTTACCCAAAAATGCTTGTAAATCCTTGAGGTTGTCCGGTCGCGGCAACTCGTTTATTGCTGCAACTTTTGAACTGGTAGGGCTTATTCCGTCGGAATTAATGATAAACCCGAGGTATTCTACCTCGCGTTGCATAAAACTGCATTTGGATTGTTGGCATGTAAATCCGTGTTGCTGTAGGCGTGAAAAGACTTGCTCTATATTTTCATTCAGGTCATCGAGCGACTTTCCTCCTATTATAATGTCATCCAAATAGTTAACGCACCTAGGAATATTGACAATAATTTGCTCGAGGAGGCGCTGAAATATAGCTGGTGCGCTGGCTACGCCAAAAGGTAGGCGTTGGTATTCGAATAAGCCAGCTGGCGTGTTGACGACGGTAAGTTTCTTAGATGCCTCGTCCATTTCCACCTGGAAGTATGCATCGGACAAGTCAATTTTGGTGAATAACTTACTTCCACGCAAGGTTTGAAATAGTTCTTCAACTCGTGGGATCGGATATTGGTCGACATCTAGCTGTGCGTTTAATGCCTTGATACCACAAATTCGAATGCGTCCATTTGTTTTGGGTACCACTACGATGGGTGCTGCCCAGTTGCTGAAATGTAATGGCTTCCAAATGCCTTTATCGACTAAACGCTGTGCCTCTCTCTTGAAGGCTTCCATCTGTGAAAATGGGAGTGGCCTCGCTTTGAAGTACTTTGGCACCGCGTTAGGCTTCAGCTGTAAATGCGCTTCAAACGATTTGCAGTGGCCGAGTGAGTCGTTGAAGACCGTTGGGAACTTTTTTATGAGCTCTTCGCAAGTATTTAAAGTAATTGCTTTAACGTGTGCTTGGCAAGGGCACAAACCTAGTTCCTCTATCAAGTCGGTACCCAAAATTTCCCCATTGCGCTCAACATTTGTAACGGTAACCTGAACTTGTTTTTCAATATCGCCACGTTGAAGCGTAACATTGACAGATCCTAAAATTTTCACTTTCCCACCACCGTACGTGGTTACATAACCTTGATTACATGGCAGCAAAGGTGGGCTATGTATTTGTCTGTATCCTTCTAGGCCGATAATAGAGCAAGTTGCTCCGGAGTCAAGTTGAAATTGTAAAGGCTTACCGTTTATCCTTACTTCCACCATATATTTGCGGTTGGTTTTGCTTACCGTGTTGCTACACGAGTTGACCTGGCTAATTGTTAAAACCGAATTTTGATTTGTTTTCAATTTTTGTTGTTTTTGGTGCCGACCATATTGCTGCTTAGGGGAATTCACTTTGGATCCAGTGTTGCAAACTGGAGCTATATGGCCAAAACGCTTACACTTGCGGCACTGTGCATTGCGAAACTTACATTTTTCTCGCGAATGGTGTGTTCCACACCCGGAGCAAGACTGAGATTGGCCGGAAGAATATGGTGCCTCGTTGCTTTGACTGCGTGCTTGGGTGGATTTTAGTTGAAGAACCTCGGTTTTTACTTCATTTTCACCCGACACCTGTTTCTTTACTGTTTGTGCTGCCTCAAACGCCTCTGCGACCAAGATAATATCTTCGAGTGTTGGCTCTAATTTCTGTAATGCTGCTGTTCTCACAGCTTCATGCGGTGTATTCAAAACGATTATGTCCCTAATAAGCTCATCTACAAACTCTTTGTTACACTCCTTATTGCGACAGACGTACTTACAATTTCGAGCAACTCCGCGTAGTTCGGCTAGCCACTCCGAATATTTTTGATTAGGCCCCATTTTAAGCTTAAACAACTCGTATCTCGATGCAAGCACGTGTACCTTAGTCTTAAAATGTGAGGTTAGTTTTGCAACCAGTTCCTCGTACGATTTCGACTGAACGTCTACACTACAGAATAACTTAACCAAAAGCTCGAAGGTCTCGCCGCCAACCCATGATAGAAAAAATGCTTTTTTTTGATCATCGTCGATGACTTTATACGCTGTGAAGTGTTGAGTCAATTGTGCTATATATGACTCCCACTGCTGCTTATCGTGATTAAAGGTTGTGAATGCTGGCACGGCGATGTGCGAATTAACTCCAAACGACGAATTTATGGTGCCTGTGGATTCCAGTGCAGTTGCCAGTTGAGATTCTCGCTTCAGGTACTCTCGCTTTTGTAGCTCGAGTTGCGACTCCATCCACGATCGTTGGGACCCCAACACGTCTATGAAAAACGTTCTCTGTTGCTCCAGCAACTCCTTCATTCCTTCAGCCATTTCGATGTACCTCGTCGCCAAGAATGTTGTAACTTTGCGCACAACAAAGTATGTATGTATTTTTTTATAATTGACGAACGAGACATGGCAAAACGCAAGCAGCAAAACTGTGTTGCCAGATGTATTCTAGTTTTCGGTTACGATACATCAACTTAAATTGCTTTTATACTGACAAACCGTAAACACACAAAATGATGTGAAAACCTCAACTTATCCCTCTCTGCTTTGGCAAATAAATAAATTACGAATTTACTTACGTATCCGTTTTATTATTTTGACAAAACGTAGTTATTAATCTTATTTTTCAGCTTTTTCCACGATTTTCGGGATGTCGTTATCACAATCCCGCGATCCCGGGGTTAGATGTATTGTTTGAGAAGCTCTCCTACCATAAAATAAATAATAAATAAATGGGTTTTAAACCTACTTTTTTTATTTAAAGTGGCGGTTTTATTTTTTTTCTCTGAAGTCAGAATTTATTTTAAAGTAGTCTGTAATTTCAAAGATAAGATTATTTCCAAAAATTATTTAAAAAATTCAATGCAATGTAGGGGGATAAAAATATGGGTACCAAGTGCAAGAGAAAATTCCTTTAGAATTTGAAGAAATTAAAAAGGACGAATAGGTAATTTTTTAAGCTGATAAAGTTAGAAGGACGAAATTTGAGGATTTTATCGAGTTTGTATAAGCCTTGAACATATAATTTTTTTTAAAACAAATATTGCGAAATTTCAAGGATAAAATTTTAAAAGGACATTTTCAATACTTAACACTAGAAACTTGAATCCGTTTAAATTCTACAGGATAAAAACGCAATTTTACTATATTCGGCTCATGGCTTCGCGATTAGTTATATTGAAATTTGTGTCTAAAATTTACTATAGCGCGGTATTATATTTATGTATAATGAGCTGGACATTTATAAAAAAATATTAATTATTAAATAAGAAAAGAAATATAGTCAATACTGCCATCAATGCAAATAATCCCGGTATTTTTGGGACATTAAAAAGGCCGGGATTAACACTCCTAGTAGTTGTATACTTAAAAATATCTCCCATCATCTTTATGAGCTTGCCAATTGAATGTGCCGTGCTTTTGTATATACAATTGTGTTTTAGTAGGCGTGTTATTTCGTATGTTCACACATATGTACATGTTTCCATATATCGTTGTTTAAAGTACAAAACCGCGTATGTGAATTATGTAAATTATTTTCTAGAGAGATTTTCTGGCTAGTATATTTCAGGACGAATGGATAAAGATTGAGCCAAGAGCTTGTGGGAGCAAATCCAATTTTTGGCAGAAAATGTCAGTTACGCGGTTTTGCAGAATGACGATACGCGGTTTTGTACTTTAAATGACGATATGTAATGTACTAGTTCGTTGCTACTTACGAGCAACCAGAATACGCGTGCGGTCATATTAAACTGAAGTTGATAAACTTACAACACATTAAAACTGGTTAATGCTTTACAGGGTCATTAAAACTTTTCATAGCTGTTATAAATTGAATTTTATGGGACAACATTAAATGTCGAAAGAAGTCCTTTCATTTCTTTGGGGATTACTTTTGCGCAGTAATTGTTTTATTTTTATTTTTATTTCATACACATACTTGGTACATTATTACCATTATCGTATTACTTCAATGTGGAAAGCTCCTTGTTCATTTTCTTTGAAATTCCTGAATGAAGTATCAGTTGTTTTCCTGTATTTCTCATTCCGTTATTGCTTTTCAAGCTCTTAAATTTTAATAATACATAAAGAGTTGTCAATTTGTAGTCAGAGGCCATAATTGCCATCATGACTATATTCGTACATAAATACATCACAATCAATTAAACTTTGCTAGTCTGCTTATCCATCTGTGGATACGAAGACCAATGGAGGGTTTCCATTATGATACCACATGAATTCAAAACCCTTACTTGTTTAGAAACCCGCTCCTGGAGTTTACTCTGTATTGCGATTCGAAAAACAAATTATTTGGATCCGAGTACTTGGCTCCATGAATTTGTATTAGTCCGTGTTGCATTTCGAATCGCATTGAGGTTCAAATCGCAAGTGAAGTCTATGAAAACTAGCAACTTCTACATAACTACATATATGTATGTATATTGAATTTTGCAGTTGCCATTAAAATAGACTAAAGATTCTGTATCCAGATTTTTTTGTTTTACTTTCCTACAGAGTGTGTAGAGATGGCAAAGTAAATGATGGATTGTTTCAGACCCAGCTGCATCAGAAGTCATTATAGGCAGCCCGAAGATGTTAGGCATGTTAGCCTAATTGCCTCGACTGTAACTGAGAATTTCTATTGATCTTCCCATGTTCCATTCAAACCACCTACATTGCCATTATTTTTTTTCCTTCTATTGGATCTGCTTTTTATGAACTTCAAGGAAATGAAGCGAATACGTATCCTTGTTGCTGTTGTAACGGCACTACTAAGCACTGCCTAAATCGGCTAGCCTTACAATCTTTGCCATCTAATTACATTAAATGTAGGTCCAGGATTTTGTTTGGGCGTGGGGAGCCCAAAGAGAAATGGATGTTGGATGAGTGGGTTTTAGGTGTCAACTGCAGAGGTAGTTGGTGTCATGGGGAGTACTTTAACAGGCGGGTTATGTATTTGGCATGTTGGGGTCGAGCCTGAATAAGTAAGACTTGAGTATGCTACGGTATCTAAACCTTAGTTTCGCTATAGTTACGCCGGTCCTCTCGAGGAAACTGGAGGTCTTCTTCTGCTATATGGTACATGGCCTACCATCAAGTTAAGGAGTTACTGACCTTAAGAAAAAAAAAATGTGGGTTAGCTCAATTCTACTCTCGTGGCCTCAAATATAAGTAGGTCGGTTAAATATTTAACTCCATGGTGAAGGTGGTATGTACATGATACATATTAGGCGAATGCATGGACACAAACGAACAGCCGAGTTGAACGCTACTGAGGCCGGAGAGAGACGAAGCCAAAGATAAAATTAAGTGTAAGAATAAGGGCAGAGATAAAAACAATTACAAGGGTAAGGTCGCAATCAAAGGCAAAAACAAAGAGAAATATAAAAAATTACGGACAAAGATTAAGATTCAGATTAAACAGAAGATTAAGGTGCAGATGAAGTTGAAGATCAAAGTCAAAAGAAGAGTTGAGATGAAGAGATAAATATGAAAATGATGACGAACATGAAGGTGATGACGAAGATGAAGATGAAGACGAAAATGTAGATAAGATGAAAATGTGGGTGAAAATGAAGATAAAGGTGAAGATGTATAAAGATGATGATGAAAATGAAGTTGTAGATAATGGTGAAGTGGAAGATAAACATAGAAAGTTATAATGTAAAGGGAAAGGTTAAAAATAAATATAAAGATATGAAATTAGATTGAGATTAAGTCTAAGATAATTCTTCAAATAATTAGTAAAAAATAAATTATTAAACTATAAACACAAAAATAAATATGGCGAGAAAAATTATAACTAAATACACAGTATATTAACGAATATATTAACAAATGGGGCCATGAGGGCCAGAGGAGCCTGTTTACAAATAAATTGGTTTTGTAATATGAAAAAGAAGGATCTATAAAATATAGAAAGAAAGAAGGATCTATAAATAATAAATAATAAAGATAACTAAAAGGGCGCGCCCCTGGCTACTGCCGTTTCGATTCTAGTAGTGCATTATAAGGTGCACCTTAGCTTTTTTTGAAATGTCAGTTAGGCTAATCCGGCCCTCAAGGCCTCAAATATATTGCACGCAAAAAGCTGTTTTCTTGTTAAAAAACTAGATACTTTTGGTTGAAGTTTTCTAGTAATCTATTAAGTTAAGTTGATTTTCAAATCAGACCAAACTTACTTTGTGTAGTCATTTCTAGGTTTATTATAGTTTTTGTTTTATATTTAACAATTTTGTCACAACAAAGAATGCGCCTTTATAATTTTAATTACCTCCAAGAGGGGATAAGTATTTCTTGATTTTTATAAAGGCGTTCACCTTTATACATAGTCTGCTGATGAAGAATTGGAAGGTGATAAATCTGTTTGAAAAGTAATCATATGAATATTTAATATCGTCACTGTTCGTCTGCTGGATTGCGGAGGAGCCCATTTCAGCAAGCAAACTTTCATTACAGCTACTTTATTCCCCTTGGATGAAGTAGTCTGTAGAAATATCTGTAAAGGCTCACAAAAAGCTGTATGCATGCTGGAATCTCCAGCGCACGTAAATGGAGGAGAGGAGGAGGAACAATAATTCTTAGTTGTTGTCACTTGCATGAAATATGATTCAAGCAAGATGAATTTGCACCGGCTATGCTAGTAGACTGACTGTGACCCCAACTACATACATACATATGTATATATGCATATGCAAACATAGATATACTTTTGCATAGATGCTGTAACGAAAGTTGTCTCTTGCAACTTGACTAGCATTATGATTGCATAAGCTTTGATAACCATAGTTGGGCAAGTAATGGTTGCAAGTGCTAGATGAATATATGTATGTACGTAGGTAGTTATGCCCAAATATACGGACATACTGTTTGCACTTTATTTAAAATACCTCAACCAACTGCAGCATATTTCACTAAAAGTTTTGACAAGTCAAGCTGTGCATTATATTCAGATATTTACACACACACACACACCCCAACATAAACACAAAGCGCTTCTCGATATATGTATGTACTTACATATATGTATGTACACCTAAATGTTCTTTGTCAAAATCTCCGCAACTTAATGCTTTGTTCGTTATTCCAATCACTCAGCGCATCTGCATCCGCTTACTACCCTCTCCATGTTTTTTTTTTGTTTTTTTTTTTGTTGGAAGACATCGAAAATGACATGAAAAATTAAAGAAAAATTACAAACATCAAAGTGCAAAATATATAAATGAAGTTTGCAACAATGTTGCAACGACCGCCGCGCATCTCCTTGCTGCTCATACTCCACGACTCCTTCACACTCTACTCCTCATTCGCGCCTTTCTTCC